GCTTTTGCTGCAATTACTTTTGACAATTTCATCATAAAATTTTTGCCCTTGCCTATTTCCTGAATGGTATTGCCTAGATTTTCTTCTAGGATTTTTATGGTTTTGGGTTTTACATTTAAGTCTTTAATACATCTTGAGTTAACTTTTGTATAAGGTGTTAGGAACGGGTCCAGTTTCAGTTTGCTGCATATGGCTAGCCCATTTTCCCAGCACCATTTATTAAATAGGGAATCATTTCCCCATTGCTTGTTTTTGTCAGGTTTGTTGAAATTCAGATGGTTGTAGATGTGCTGTCTTATTTCTGATCTATTGGTCTATGTGTCTGCTTTGGTACCAGTACCATGCTGTTTTGGTTACTGTAGCCTTGTATTATAGTTTGAAGTCAGGTGTCTTTATGCTTCCAGCTATGTTCTTTTTGCTTAGGATTGTCTTGGCTATACAGGTTCCTTCTTGGTTCCATATGAGTTTTAAAGTAGCTTTTTTAAAAAATTCTGTGAAGAATGTCAATGGTAGTTTGATGGGAATAGCATCAAATCTGTAAATTACTTTGGGAAGCATGGCTATTTTCACAATATTCATTCTTCATGTCCACAAGGATGAAATGTTTTTCCATTTGTTTGTGTCCTCTTCTAATTCCTTGAGAAGTGGTTTGTAGTTCTCTTTGAAGAAGTCCTTCACATCCCTTGTTAGCTGTATTCCTAGGTATTTTATTGTCTTTGTAGCAATTATGAATGGAGGTTCATTCATGATTTGGTTCTCTGCTTGTCTGTTGTTGGTGTATAGGAATGTTTGTGATTTTTGCACATTGATTTTGTATCCTGAGACTTTGCTGAATTTATCAGCTTAAGGAAATTTTGGGCTGAGACAATGGGGTTTTCTAAATATACAATGTCATCTGCAAACAAAGACAATTTGATTTCCTCTCTTTTTATTCAAATACGCTTTATTTCTTTCTCTTGCCTGATTGCCCTGGCCAGAACTTCCAATACGATGTTGAATAGGAGTGGTGAAAGAGGGTTTCCTTGTCTTGTGACAGTTTTCAGAGGGAATGCTTCCAGCTTTTGCTCATTCAGTATGATATTGGCTGTGGGTTTGTCACAAATAGCTCTTATTATTTTGAGATACATTCCATCAATATCTAGTTTATTGAAAGTTTTTAGTATAAAGGGATGTTGAAATTTATTGAAGGCCTTTTCTGCATCTATTGAGATAATCATGTGGTTTTTGTTATTGGTTCTGTTTATGTGATGAATTGCATTTATTGATTGGTTTATGTTGAACCAGTCTTCTTCCCAGGGATGAAGCTGACTTGATCATGGCAGATAAGCTTTTTGATGTGCTGCTGGATTTGGTTTGCCAGTATTTTATTGAGGATTTTCACATTGATGTTCATCAGAGATATTGGCCAGAAGTTTTCTTATTTTGTTCTGTCTCTGTCAGGTTTTAGTATCAGGATGATGCTGGGCTCATAAAATTAGTTAGGGAGAAGTCCCTCCTTTTGAATTGTTTGAAATAGTTCCAGAAGGAGTGGTACCAGCTCCTTTTTGTACCTCTGGTGGAATTTGACTGTGAGTCCATCTGGTGCTGGGCTTTTTTTGGTTGTTAGGCTATTTATTACTGCTTCAATTTTAGAACTTGTTATTGGTCTATTCAAGGATTTGACTTCTTCCTGGTTTAGTCTTGGAAGGGTATATGTGTCCAGGAATTTATTCATTTCTTCTAGATTTTCTAGTTTATTTGCATAGAAATGTTTATAGTATTCTCTAATGGTAGTTTGTATTTCTGTGGGGTCAGTGGTGATATGCCCTTTATCATTTATATTGTGTCTATTTGATTCTTCTCTTTTTTTCTTCTTTATTAGTCTAGCTACCAGTCTATCTATTTTATTAATGTCTTCAAAAAAGAAACAACTCCTGGATTTATTGATTTGGTGAAGCATTTTTTTGTGTCTCTCTCTTCTTCAGTTCTTTTCCCATGTTAGCTATTTCTTGTTTTCTGCTAGCTTTTGGATTTATTTGCCCTTACTTCTCTAGTTCTTTTAGTTGTGATGTTAGGGTGTCAATTTGAGTTCTGTCTAGTGCTACAAATTTCCCTCTTAACATTGCTTTAGCTGCATCCCAAAGATTCTGGTATGAAGTCTCTTTGTTCTTATTGGTTTCAAGAACGGTTTAGTTTCTGCCTTAATTTTATTATTTACCTAGGAGTCAGTCAGGAGCAGGTTGTTCAACTTCCATGTCGTTGGTTTTGAGTGAGTTTCTTAATCCTGAATTCTAATTTGATTGAACTGTGGTCTGAGAGACTGTTATGATTTTCAGTTCTTTTGCATTTGCTGAGGCGTGCTTTACTTCCAATCATGTGATCGATTTTAGAGTAAATGCCACATGGCACTGAGATGAACGTATATTCTGTTGTTTCAGGCTGGAGGGGCTTGTAGATATCTATTAGATTCACTTGATCCCGAGCCAAGTTCAAGTCCTGAATATACTTGTTAATTTTCTGTCTCAATGATCTGTCTAATGTTGAGAATGGGGTGTTAAAGTCTCTTACTATTATTGTGTGGAAGTCTACATCTCTTTGCAGCTCTCTAAGAACTTGCTTCTTGAATCTGGATGCTCCTGTATTGTATGCATATACATTTAGGGTAGTTAGTTCTCCTTGTTGAATTGACCCCTTTATCATTATGTTATCCCCTCCTTTATGTTTTTTTTTTAATCTTTTTTGGTTTAAAGTCTGTTTTGTCAGAGACTAGGATTACAATCCTTGCTTTTCTCTACTTTTCATTTCCTTGCTAAATTTTTTCCATTCCTTTATTTTGAGCCTATGTATGTCCTGGCACACGTCAAGGATGTCTTGAATATAGCACATTGATGGGTCTTGACTCTATCCAATTTACCAGTCTGTGTCTTTTAATTGGGGCATTTAGCCCATTTACATTTAAGGTTAATATTGTTATATGTGAATTTGATCCTGTCATCATGATGCTAGCTGGTTATTTTGCACGTGAGTTGATGCAGTTTCTTTATAGTGTCATTGGTCCTTGTATTTCAGTATGTTTTTGCAGTGGCTGGCACTGGTTCTTCCTTTCTGCCCCCACTGCATGTTCATATATTTATTCAACAGTATTTAACACCTACTATAGGCCAGGAATTATTCTATTCTTGGCCCTAAAGATAAAGAGGTGAATAGGATACGTAATTGTGATAATAATAACTTTTGATAACTGCTATGAAATGAAAGACAGAGTGGAGTTATCGAGAGTTATTGAGTGGGGGAGTGGTGAGAAGTTGTAATTTTAAATAGATTCATCAAGTAACTTTCACTACCACCACCACCACCACCATTTCAGGCAGTACTATGTGATTTAAGAAGGAATAGAAAACATTAGGTGGAATGACGGAGGAGAAAGTAGATTTTGAATTGAACTATAAAGAATGAAGAGAACTTTGAACAAATAAGGGAGGAGATATGAATTCCAAATTAAGAGAATCGTCATAATAGTGGTATGTAGTCAGGAAAGATCAAGCCGTACCTGGGGAAGAATTATTTAGGGTTCCTGCAGGAGATGAGGTTACAAGATAGATAGTACTTAGATTTTGTAGACAGTGGTTACAAATATATTTAGTTAAATGAAGAGTATGCCAGTAAGTCAGTGGAGTTTATTAAAAGAAAAACAGTGCAAGAGACTGTACATAACACCATGTTAGGAAAGTTAACTCAGAAATGATGTGCAGAGTACATTAAACAGGATAGGAATGGAGATAAGGCACTCCACTAGAACACTATGACAACATTACACAAAAGAGGGGCTGGGAAGTCAAGACTTAATCAAGGGAGGCATCAGTAGGTATGGAAGAAAAAGAAGGTGGTCCTGAGAGAATAGTGAAGAAGGACACTAGAGAACTTGTTTCTGCCTGATCTATAAGCCTTTTTCTATCTCTCTTTCAATCTCGTAGGCTCTTACATTGTATGTTATTTATTTTCCCTTCTTGGTATCTGTGAGTCTCTTTATCTTTTAAATTTTCTCTCTTCCTTCCTTCTTCTATTTCTTCCTTCTATTTCTTCTCTTCACTTAGTCTTCCTTCCCATTTATCTTGACTTCAGAAGTGTCCTTTACATAGTAATTACACATAGAAAATAGTAATTTCGTATTTTTACTTTTAACACTAGTAATTTCTACTTTTTTTTATAACTTTAGTCATTATATAACTAAGACTTTTTATTCCCCATCAAAAAAACCCTTGTTTCTTTCTGCATATTTTATCTGATTCTGTTTTCTAAATTGTTAGGGAAAAAATTTCCTAAATTTAAGATACTCTATAAAATAGTAATGTTTTGGGGACTTAGTTTTAGAAAAATCCCTCAGGACATTCTGCCTTTTGAATAGAATAAAGAATGTATGTCAACTGGGATTGAAAATTATGACTGTCTTCATTCCAACATGAAGACAAATTGGCCTTGGCCCGTGCAGCAGGTGATGAAATTAAAATTAGCTACCGACAGATCTAGAGGTAAAACATCACTTCACCGTGATTACATTTCTTAATCTATTGGTGATGATGTTTGATTAAGAAGGGCCTACTAAAGAAAGAAAGGTCAAAAGCATGGCTTAAGTAGTAAGAACAGAAAAATATGACATACATATGAGGAATGTGAAGAAAAATATTTTACATTATTTAATATACAGAAAGCAATATGAAAAAGGAGGGAAATTTTCAAGTGATGAAGTCCATTAAACAAATATCTCATGAAAGAGGGGCACTATCTTTGAATGCAAGATTCAGGAATGGAAAAATAAATAAAAAGATAATATCTAAAAAGAACAACATTTGATATCTCTCATAGAACTAAGTAAAGCTCAAGAATAAGTACACTTAGACTTAGAGTGTGCCAACTCTTCAATATCTGTCCCAACATTGCAATTATCTTTTAAACTTTCACTAAAAACAGCTGACTGACAAAAAAGTTAATTTTGTAGTATAAGATTATTGAACCTGTGAGGTTCAATAAGTGAGTTTACTATCTAAAGAGGAAATTGGTGGCTGCCACTTGCTCCCTATGCTTTTGACAGCTTCTTTGATGTCCTTATTCTTCAATGTGTAAATTATAGGGTTTAGCATGGGGGTAACAACACTGTACAAAACTGAAATCAACCTATCTTTCTTTAATGAGTAAGTTGAGATGGGTCGTACATACGTAAAGATGGCACTGCCATAAAAGAGAAAGACAATGGCCACGTGGGAGGCACAGGTAGAAAAGGCTTTTCGTCTTCCCTCTGAGGAGTGGATCCTCAAGATGGTGGAGATTATGCAAATGTAGGAAAGTATGATACAAAGGAAAGGAGTCCAACCAATGAAGACCCCAATGGATAGCAGTGCCAACTCATTGACAGAAGTGTTTCCACAAGACAAGAGCAGCAAAGGTGGGATGTCACAGAAGAAGTAGTTAATCTGATTGTTGCCACAGAAGGGCAGGCGGAATGTCAACACTGTATGCACCACTGAGTTAAGAAAACCAGCAGCCCAGCATGAGGCTGCTAATTGATTGTATACAACTTTGTTCATAATAACTGAATACCTTAAAGGATTGCAGATTGCAATGTAACGATCATATGCCATTGCTGCCAGTAGGAGAGACTCTGATCCCACAGAGAAAACAAATGCAAAAAGTTGAACCACACACCCCGCATAAGAAATGCTTTTTTTCTTTGAGAGGAGGTGCACCATCATCTGGGGGACATTGCTGGTGGTGTAGCAGATGTCAATAAAGGCCAAGTTCCCTAGAAAGTAATACATAGGTGTATGCAGGTGTGGATCAGTCACAGTTATCAAGATAATTAATATATTTCCTCCCAAAGTACAGAAATAAGTCAGAAAGAAGACGGTGAATAGTAAAAACTGCAATTCATTTGGGTTGGAGAATCCCAAGATGATGAATTCAGTTAGAGCTGTTTGATTCTTTCTTTCCATGATGTTGCCTGGTTTCCTTTCGGGAATTGGGCGAAGACCAGATTATAAAAATGAATCATATGTTGCAATAGCAGTGACCTGAAAAATAAGGGGAAAAAACTGTTACAAATAAAAGTAATCACCATTTATATCAAACCAGAGAAGCAGCATTCTTTTGCAAACCATAGCTCCTACCTACCACGCAACACAGATATAAATACATCCAATGTTTCACCTGCAGATCAAATCTTTGTAAAATACACAACACTGGAAGTTTTAAATTAGAGTACAAAAGGACACCATTTTTCCTAGAGTTCTGTTAATAACGGCTGGGTCATGCTTACCAGCATTTTCTTGGGGATGTGTGAACTTGTGCTGTAGAATGCAGTTTATAGAAGAATCTCTGATATTCATTTGCTTCTTTGAAGCCATCCCTGCTCCCCTTTTTCATACTTCACGTTCATATAAATTTTGTTTTGTATTCTTTTCTGATTAAAATTAATGTATTTGTTTTAGAATATTTGGGAAAAATATAGAAAAGAAAATTTAAAACATTAAAAATCTTTAGTAGTCACCAGACAAAACCTCTGTTAATGATTTGGTGTATGTTCTTCGGATCCATTTTTCATACAGAAATGTTGAATAGAGGATCAAAAGCACCTATTTTAACCTGATTTTTCCTTCATTCCCCATGGCAATAAGTATTATGCTAAAACATGATCTTTGAGTTGTATTCAAGCACTTGTGTGAATATGGCAAAGTTTTTCTATATCCCACCCTTATTAATGAATATTTCTATTATTTTATTTGTTAATTTTTGATATGATAAATTTCAATAAGAAGCATATTGAATTAGATTCCCTGAATTTGGAGTAAGGTTATCTGTATTTTAATAAAATTTCCAAGAGACTCATCCTAATGAATTAGAAACCTATTGCTATAGATCATCAATCTAGAAAATTCAAGAACTATTTGGCAGGTGCAGGAATTAGTGTCTGTTTCAACAAATCATTGTTAAGTGCTTCATATAGAAGGATGCTGATAATCTCTGAGCACTTCCCACACAGCATCTCATTTAGTCTTTACATAAATCCTTTAAGATAAGTAATATTTATCATTCCTATTCTCTGAATGAGAACACCAGGTCTCAGCAAGATAAATGTCTGGCAGATGTTATGCAGCTAGCAGGTTAAAAAATGTAGCTTTATCACTCCCAAAGCTAATATACTTTCAATTGAGTGGCTAAAAATTTAATTTCCATTAACTTATGACAATATAATGCTCTTTAAAAATGCTTCTTTTGGGGGGGCGGAGCAAGATGGCCGAATAGGAACAGCTCCAGTCTCCAACTCCCAGTGCGAGCCACACAGAAGACCGGTGATTTCTGCATTTTCAACTGAGGTACTGGGTTCATCTCACT